AGTTCTATGATCCTGGTTCTCTTGTGGGAGATGTTAGAATTCATTTCCAGCAGATCTTTCTGAGATAAATATCCAAGAACATGAATTGGTTACAAATCATAACCTGTTGCTCCTTAGTGACTGAACAAATCCATCTCCTTATGGCACAAAACCCTCTCCTTCACCCCAACTCAGCAATTCAGTCTCTGGGGGTTTTTGTCTGAATAGCAGATCTTTTCATCAAACATCTCTAAACACATGTTTTGCCATAATGTTTTGCTGAGGTTAATTTTCTTTTCCAGGTCAAAGTAGTTCCTCATATTTTTATTACAAGAAATAAACCAAATGCAATTTAAAGACTCTAAGATCTTAGAAAAAGATGTGCAGGTCCTTAGGACAAGCTTCCCTTTAAATCTGAAATTTGTGAGAGCTGACTTGTGGCATGCACTAATAATCTGTTTGGAGACTTTGGCACACAGGAACATATGGATTGGTCTGAGTGTCACAGAGCAAAAGATCACAAGGCCACTTTTTTCAGAGAAAGGTGTTGACAAGAAGGCTGTATTCATTAGTCCTTCCCAGAGGCTTTGTAAAACATGGGATGTCTCCTTGCTAAGCTTCATTCAAATATAAAACTGAAGCCCTATTTCCAAATCTCTGTGTGTGATGGCAGTCCTTGTTACCCAGCTATATTTTTGCTCCTGATAAACAGAGGATTTTATACATATCAGGACAACGTAGAACTTTAAATATTCATCTCTGATTATTTTGTTCATTTCTGAAATCCCAGCATGCTAGCATATCAGGACAACGTAGAACTTTATTCATCTCTGATTATTTTGTTCATTTCTGAAATCCCAGCATGCTATGGAAAACCTCATCAGTAGAGGCAGAAGAAAACAGCAAACAAAGCTATCTATAATATTTTCCTCTGAAAAATACAGCCAACATTATATGTGGGAACAGCTATTTATGCTAGTCAAAAAGAGCAAAGAGACAATAGCCATTTTATCCTTGACTCTCACAGACACCCTAAATCCATAGACAAACAAAACACACAAGATGAACGAGGCTCAGACAACAAAGCATGCAAATTAATGCCAATTAATGCCCACATTCTTTTCCAAATAGGTTGATAAACCAATCTGTTTGCCAAGCATAAGTACTGAAGTTTGCGTGCTGTATATATGTTGTCACTGGGAGCTTGGGCATACAGAATTTGAGAAACAGAGAAAATCAATCAAGAATTTACGACACAAACTCATAGTGCATACCCTGCTGAAACACTGCTGCTGTACTGTCACTGCTGTTACAGTTGATATTAAGCAGGATTCAGAATGTAAAGATATGAAATTCATCAATGCATGGCCATGAGAAACTGCTGTAGAGTGAAGCCATTTGAATGCCTAGTACGAAAATAAGGCTGCCACAGTAAACACAGTAAGAATTCTGATATTATTTTCCATGAACTAACCTCCAGACCTTTACCAAATTCTGATATTCCTTTTCCATGAACTACCTCCAGGCCTTTACCAGCAGTTATGAATTAGACATCCAGATAAGGTATGGTGTTCTTCAATTCGGAGTGGGGAACCAAGGCACGGGAAGCTTTAAACCTTCCTCCTTCATTAACAGTGAAGGTATTCACATTTTCATGGGTGTACCACAAGTTCATTTGCCTGAAAAACAAATTCTGACTTTCATTTACAAAACTGCGACTTTAATTTATACAAACTACCCCAATTTCACAGTCCTATCTCTCCTTTGCCTATTATGTCTAAACTTTCAACTATACTAGTCTATCTGGAAAAGCCTTGCAATAAAAAGGTTGTTCCATGACCTCCTTCATTGTGCCCCTCAGGTATGACTTGACCAAAACCCAATTGTGAAGGAGTGAAAAGAACTGGGGAAATAAAAGACAGGAGACACTAGCTGCTGTATCAGTGCTAAGAAACCTTAGCCCATTTGTATTCCCTACCCTTAAGAGAGAGTTTTGGAGACTGAAAACATAATTTTCCTAAAAGAAGATGGCAGATATGGAAAATCAACATTCTTTAAATCACAAAGGACACAATAGTATTCAGGATCTTGCAAGAACTTCTAATGCTGTAGTTTCAGAGGAAAACTCTAAAGCTGCTCTGTGATGTGAGTCTAAGGAAACAAAAAAAATATTCAATTACAGCTTCTGATGTCCTTTTTACTTTAGATAACAGACAACATGAAGGAGCCGGCAGCTGAGACTGGGCAGTGACAGAAGCCATAGCTGTGACTACCAAGAATATAACAGGGAGGATGCTGCACGAATGGGTGCCCACTGTCCACAAACTCCAGTGCAGGGTGGAGCTTACCCACACACAAGCTTACATGTAAAATGAGATCTGATTACTACCTTTCTAAAGTCTGTGAGCTTGTCTATGTACTGTAGGTGGGAAGTGTTTCACTCACACCTTAGGTGCACGCCAGACCTTGATTTGCAGGAATTATCTGAAGCATAAGTCAATACTGATATCACAGTTAGTCTTTGGCCTCACACATGAAAAAGCCTCAACAGAAAAAAATCCCCAAACAAAACAATATGCTGATAGTTTTAAGGTGGGAGTGCTCAGGAATTATTATTCATAACCTGAAATTTCTTAGTTCAGCACGTGGGCAGTCAGTGTCAGAATAATCTCGATGAAGATGTTCTTGTATTCTCTTCACCTTACCTGTACACATCATTGCTAGTCACACTACCCTGTACAGCCTTGCCTTAAGTAGAAGGGAATTTGTGTCTCCCTTTGAGCTTGTATCGTGTCTAGCAGAGATCTTGTATCAAACATCAGCTTTGGTTGACTGGCTTAATTTTTAGGCTGCAACTTCTTCTTCTCCTACAACTACAACTGCAGTTTCAGACTAGCCATAGCTCTAAACCCTCCCCTCCAAGGAGTCTGGGAGCAACCAGCCAGGCCAGTTTGGAAAGAAACCCTAATCCATTCTTTGTTCAACAGGAAGGAAACCCAAGTCTGCATACCAAAGCTTTATTTCAGAAGACCAAACATCAGCAGTTTTACAGTGATCTTTAATTTCCCATTTGGTTCCAGAACAAAAAAAAAAAACCACCAAAAAAAAACCCCAAAAAAGAAAAAACAACCTATCCAAAACAATTATTGCCCAGAACAAAGCTCTCAAAGGGCTTTCCATCTCTGAAACAGCCTTGCTAATGATCCATTCTCAGTGGTCTGTCCTCCTTTTCTTTATGACTTTCCTGCACACTCATTTTCGATTAAATTAAACCTTCCTAATTATTTTTTTATATTGTCATTTTGTACAAGAAATACCAGGACAGATTTTTAAAGAGACTCTCAAAGCCTTGCTCTTCATCTGAGTCACCATTCTTCATGGGACACCCTGGGCTGCATTCTCAGGAGCTGGCTGCAGGCATCCAGACTCCCTCCCCTCCTTCCTGACTGAGGTTCTGTGTTATTCCAGCTTTGTAGTACCTGTGGTGATGCTGGTTACAGGTGTCACAGGCCTTTCAGAGTCCTTTAATTCCATTTGCCAAACACTGGCATAGACCTTGTAGAGTACAGAGAAGTGTCAGGGAAATGTAACATATTTATAGCCAAGTTCCCAAGTTGCTTATAGTGCCTGAGCAAATATTTTATTGTTTACTGCTTTAAGGCCCACTGATACATTTAAAATATGATCCCTTGGGCAGCTGAAGCAATGAAGCCTGACTTCCTACAGCATCATCCCTTCTTTAAATTCTCTGGTACTCTGTAGCAGTGAAGGCACAACGGGGTCCCATGGTCTTTATTTCTCTCTTGTTGCATGAAATTTTTAAAAAGGGTTATTTTTGAGACAGTTGCTGCACAAATTTGGGTGTAACTGGCTAATGAATTTATAAGTTTGGGGGTAGAGGCTTGGTATATAAATGGATAGCATGATACAGATTTTCTCTCCTTAGAAGAGATATTAAAATAATTCTCTGGTACTTCAGATACCCTACCTAGGGCAACCAAAGAGTGAAGAAGCTAAGCTGTTACCCAGTATGCCATTCAGTGCCAGAGATGAAATACAGTAAAAGAAAATATCCCACGCTGAAAAGAAAAATAGACAGGACCAGGCCACACTTGCTAAGAGAATATGTCAATGTTTAACACTGAGGATGAATCATAAGTTGTACTGCTTACTGTCAATAGATGAAGCTGGGAAATTGGATGTTCAGTGAAGCAAAGCAGAACCTCTGTAATCAGAGTGCATAATCTAAAACACATCACTGCAAAGTGGGGAGGGGGAAGTGACTAACCCAAGAAGATGGAAGTTGTTCATTTCAGCTGTCAGGGTGAGTAAGTAAAGATAAAATAAGCTTTTAGATTCACAACAAGTTCTTTCAAGTTCCTGACTAAAGGAAGCAGCATTTTGTTACCTGGATTCTGTCTTTTCAGGGTCTTGCTTCAATTTAATTTGCATGAGCAGGCCAAAGAATAATTTCAAAAGCTTTGGGCAATTTTGTATATCTGTCTTTTATAAGCATCGCCCATCAATTTTTTTCAGAGAAAAGCTGAAAGGTCCTTACCTTGTTCTTTGATTAAATATTTACTGACTGCTAATTTGGCAATGCATTACTGCTATAAATGATTGCCTGCAAAGCAGTGGAGAGATGGGTCTGAAATGTCTGCCTATGCCTGTAGCCTTCACATCCTGTATTCTCATACAGGATTATTAATCTTTGTCAGGAAGGTCAGGAAGCATCAAATAGTGATTAATGGTGAGTTGCAGGGGTTTCTGATAACTGAGCTCCAGGGATTGTGGTTGAAACCTGTTAGATGGCTATTAAAACCTCCTTTGCCCTTCCTGTAATTCGCTGTGACTGCAGATGACTGTTGAAGAATTGCTGGCTTTTCATCTTGCAAGGACACTCACCACCCATCTCCCTCCTCAACAGGGTCAACATTTGTAGACCTTTTGTATTGCCAGTTGGGCACTAATGAGAGAGCATCAATGGATCAGGAACAGCTGCATCCACATTTCTTTCACTGTCCTCAGTTCACCATGGTAGGCACTGCCCTCTGAAACAAGCTCATGAATAGCAGGCTGGAGCATGTAAAAGGGTAAGATAAAACATTCCATGAAAAAGGAGTACAAAAGATACAAAGATTGTTATTTAGTGAAATCTGTGCAGGAAGTTTTTCTGTGCTCAGATAATTTTAATCACATTGTTAGAGACTTCATCCAAGGCTGTCTACTTGAAAAAGAAAAATCCAACAAAAACAAGCAAAAATTACCCCTAAAACCTCACCAAACCCCCCCCCTTTTTAAAATACTAAGCTTAGAGAATACACATCCTGCTCAAATGTAAGACACTATGTCAAAACAGGGTCAGGAAAAGTCTGGCAGGCAAATTTGTAGAAGAACCCCAGTGTGGATGCTCATCTTCCCTAAAACCTCACCAAAACCCCCCTTTTTAAAATACTAAGCTTAGAGAATACACATCCTGCTCAAATGTAAGACACTATGTCAAAACAGGGTCAGGAAAAGTCTGGCAGGCAAATTTGTAGAAGAACCCCAGTGTGGATGCTCATCTTGCTAGGATAGGAAGGAAACAAAGCCATATTTCTGTCTTTGGGAAAGGTTCCCAGTGATTCTGAACCCTTGCTCTTTACACTAGAGCACTGACAGCTGCTTCCAAACCATGGGTAGGGTTTCAGGGTAGGAATGCATGGCAAGGTCAGCTAATCTCTCTATCCTCTCTGGTCAGAATGTCCAATGATAGGAGTAGAAAGTCTCACAGGTTGTGTTGGGTGTGTGGAACAAATTCTCCAAAATACAGTCAGGGGAGAAATAGTGGCTAGAAACTAGGGAGATATCTTGCATGGATATTCGAAAATGCTTCAGTGTCTAATCTGTTCATTATGGTGTAATTTAGGTACAGAACTGCTTTGAAATTCTTTCATGACTGTCTATGTAATTTTCCAGTTACCTAAATATATTCTAAAATTTAGCTCTGACAGGCTACTTGAACAAAATACTTTTCAGCTATGTGTTTATATGATTGTGTCGCCAGTTAATTACTCTCTATTTCCACACTAAATTGAAATCATAAATTCATAGTGCAAGCAAAACTGTGTGCTTGCATAATCCATAATGGTATCCAATTTTGAAATAGGAAATGCAGAGAAACAAGAGTATAGAAATCTAAATATTTGAAAATCGCTTTTTTTTTTTTTCAGGATGCCTCTTCCTGTGTCCTCTAAACTGTGTAATGAATGGTGTCCTGGGAAACCACTGTAGGAAATCTAAATATTTGAAAATGGCTTTTTTTTTTTTTTTTTTAGGATGCCTCTTCCTGTGTCCTCTAAACTGTGTAATGAATGGTGTCCTGGGAAACCACTGTATCTTCACACAAATAGTTCCTGTGGAAGGATGCTGTAAGCAGTATCAAATTAGCTGCCATAGAATTTGGCCACTTAATGCTTTTGCTGTCAAAGTCACATCCCATGCTGAGTCACTGTTAAGTGATTGAGCTGATATAAACGAATGCATTGACTAAGTAATTTATTTACATCTTGCTGCTATCAATCTAAGAAACTGCTAAATGTATTAAATAATCAATCCACTCAGCAGCTGATGATGCAGTAGTAGAAATGAAGTCCTACTAGGTTTTTATTATTGCTGTCGGAGAGGCTCTTTGGATGCTCTGAACATGTGCAAAAGGATAACAATTCAACAAATATAGCTCACATTTAGAAAAGTCTGAATGACTTTTGAAAGAAAAGCCATAATAATACAAAGAAACTGGAAAGATAATAACATATGGTTGTTTGTTAGGGGCCGCTGTACAGGCTTGAAAGTTGTGGACTACAGTATGTGTCTGGATTACAATATGTGTCTGGCTGTTTAATGCTTAATGTATTAATGATACAGAATTGCCTGTAGGTTACAAATTATTCATTGACAGGGATATATGGACAGCATCATTCTCTATTATTTTTTACAGTCATGCCATAATGCAATGTACATAATTCTAAAATGTCAAAAAAAATCATTTGTTAGGGAGAAGGCAATGCAAGGACTCACAAGACAGCTGCTAAAGACCAAAGGAATCAAAGCATTTCATGCCCCATGGAGCTTTTTTATATGCACATTTCAATTCTGTGACTTGTAAACTTCACCAGAGGTAAGAACATTGAGATCATAAATGCTAGTTACAACCACCATCATTTAACTTTTATGTTAGTTATACTTGTCTGGTGTAGGACTTAGGTCAATGTCACATCCAGAATTTTTCTCTATGTTAATTCTGAACTGGACCTTGTAAAAGCAAAGACAAAGATGTTTTGGGAATAACAGTGCAGTGTGTCTGATTTTCTGTCTGCTCATATCCAGAGGACCAAATTGTGCAGGTTGTGCCTCTGTTCCACTTAAACACAGGCATAGACAGTTATATAAAATAATAGAGAATATATGCTCAGTGTCCTCTGAACAGTGGGCCTCATTGATATCACACACTGACATCAAAACTTGACTTTATTGAGGTCACAGCAAAACTGCCATTGATGAAAAAGGGCATAGGTTTCACTTCTAGAGTTTACTCTGCTTTCTCCTCTTTCATGGTAAGAATGAGTGTAATGAAGCCCACTCTGAAAAAAGAGTTTTAAAGCCTGGGCTGATATTTTGCTTTGGAGTAGTATTTATGAAATGAACATTATCATAAACAGTCTGGTTAGAAGGAGAATTTATTGTTATACATAGAGCTGATACCAGAAAACAAAGCAAAAAAATTTCTCAAGTATTTAATGTAATTGCTTTTATTTGTGAGATAATGAGTCAATTCTCTTTAAAGTATGTCATTTGGAAGTAGCAGCAACACTCCTAATAAAATGTAGGCGGTGGAATGGAAACATCAGCACTACTACAGTAAATGTAAAGGGTTTGCCAAAGACGTGCATATTGATTCTATGAGTTGAACAAGAGAAGTATCAAAACGAGTATTACAGCGACCTGCATAGAGGCTAAAAATAACTTCACACAGGAAATATTAAACATCTAGTTCAGAAGGAATTGAAAAATAAATCATACCATTTTAGGAAGGCCTACAAAAAAGAGAAACAAACAGAAATGTAAGAGGACATAAAACAAAGCAAATAAGGTGAAAACATGGGTCATAATTTTAAAAATATAAAGAAATCAGAACAAAAGATTAATCAAATTAAACTGAATAGCAAACACAATAATAAAAGCATACCAAGAGAAGGAGAAGGACTGTTTAGGACTCTACAGCATGAATAGCTCAGCAGAGGTGGTCTAGAGAGATGGTCTTTACTGCAGCTATATTCCTGTACTAGATTTTTTTACAAAAATAGTTTCACAAAATGCTTTCATAGAGGACAAGGAAGAAATTATTCATCACGTGGTATTAGCTCCTCCTGGGTTTAGATGCTATACATTGATGAAAGACATGCAAAACATGCCTCACTATTTATTTTTCCAGACAGACAGCTACTATATGGGATTCCCATTGCCATGAGGTATCCCATGGCATTCATCCCAAAGAGTAGAATGAGATGGCCTCACAAATGTGAAAGTCTAAAAAGCAGCCGATGTATTGCGAATGAGACAAGATAAAGTTTAACAGAGTAATTTCCTTAACAAAGTTACTTACGCTGAAAGAAAGTTCAAGATTTTTTTTTCAGCATTGCACTGATCAATGAGAATTAGAACTTTCATGAAATCTCCTTTTCCCCTTGGTTAAAAACACCAACATAAATACAGCAAAATTTGTCTGATAAGAATTAAGATCTCCAAGCAACAACCATTCATCCCCATTACATTAAATCCCCAGCTGGCAGAAGGTGCTTTTTTGTACCGTAGATAGCTCCCATTGCTCTCAAATTGCTTTACTGCACTGCTTTAGTCTCTTGATTCACTACAGACTTAAGGGTAATGAGTCTGGCACTGTCCAAAGGACCTCGTGATACCTCCTCATACTCAGCTAAACACAATTAGGCTGGAGAAATCCAGTGCCATTGAGTTCTCATGGTGATTAGTGACAGCCTGAAAGAGTCAAGAATGAAGAGAGTCTTAAAGGGTGTCTTTGCTAAGCCAAATAGGTTGCAAAGAATTAGTTCCTTATTGCCAGAGTCAAAATTCAACAACACTAAGAGCCTGCTTAAAGCACAGTTGCTGAGAAAGCGTCCCACAAGAATGCTACAAAGAATTAAGATCATAGGAAACAGATGATAAGGAATAGAGAAAGGGAGGGAAAAATGCTAATGAGAACATAATAGATTGTGAATGCAAAGAAAAATTTTAGAATTATAGTTTAACATGTTGTTATGTAACTATATAAATAAACTATAAATAGTTTAGAAATGTAGTTTACTATATATTTAAAATGTAAGTTTGCTTGAGTTGTCTTTACTATTACCAATGTAACTGCTGCTCTTCTATCGCCTGTTATTGCCTGGGACCCTAATTTGTCATCTCTGTTGATTTTGGCTGTCGGTTCCCAGAGTTTGATTGATTATTGTGAGCAGCAAGAGAATTCTCTGGTGAAAAACTGCCACATCCTAGAATTTATCAAAACACATAATTGGCAGGATTGTGAATTTGCACTTTCTGTGTACAGTGTTGGAATCTAAAATGAATATGAAACCTAGCTTTATAGGCTGTTTCTTTAAAATAGGTCAAGGAAAGATTATGGTTACATCATTCAGTTTGCTGCACAGTCAAGCAGCTGAGGAAATTTCCCATTTATTTGATATTTTTTATGGACTATGGAAATCTCAACATTAGGCCATGCTTACTGTCAGAGCCTCCAGGACTTCAGAACAGAGATTATACTGCACTGATGTCACTTGTGGGCTGAATATAAACACTGTAGGTGTAGACATAAAGGGGATAGTTACATAAAATTAATAGCAAAAAAAATGTCTTTGTACTCCCTGAAGCAAGCAACAAAAGTGTCTTTGTGAGTGCAGTTCTACACACATTGCTGTTGTCAGCCAATTGGGCTATGACCTAGAACTTAGCCAACTATAAAACCAATAATAAACTACAGAAAGAGCAACTCTTCACACTGATGGTAAGTACTCAGAGGCTAAATCATGAAAAGAATAAAGTATTCAGTTTATCTTAACATAATGCAATTATCTCGCCATTTCTGATTTTACTAATACAGACAAAATTAAGGACTGTAAAAAAAAAAATCAATCTGCTTTTATCTAAAGCCTTTATACCACGAACAATCCAAGAACAGCAGGGTTTGTGAATTCTGGAGCAAGACTGATATAGAAGATCTGTTTTAATGGTAAAATCACAGCTGCACTGCCTTCATGAACACAGCAGGTTTACAAGGTGGATCTGAGCACGTAGTTTGTTTTTATTTGCCAGTGTGATGGGATATGAGAAGCTGTTGTAGGTCTGTCCTTTCCAATTACTGAGTTTATCTGCTTATGTTTGGGCTCAGACTTTTAGTATAAGCACCATAAAAGGTGGGGCTCAGCCCTGGGAAACTGCATAATTTCTCTGCTATTACAGCTGATGATCAAGCACTGCCTAGCATATTCCCTGCATTTACGTCAGCTTTTTCTTCATTTTGTTGCTAATCTCTAGTTGAGAGCTTACACAGCCCGGGAGCAGTGTCATACTGCTTGTCCTTTGAAATTCATCTTTTGTTGTTCCTTACAGCCATGCAAAATGGATCTCACGGAACTGTTCGGAGCAAGATGATATTTAAATCTCCTTTTCTGTACACAAGGAGATGACCCCACTGACAACTGACTTCCAACAGAAGGTTGCTAACCCTGAAGTGCCATCCCACTGAGATATTTAAGGAAATATGGGGGCAATGGGTATCAGATGCATAACTTTCTGAGGAATGTTAAACCCCTAGTAGAACAAGGTTAAATCCAGAAAAAACAGTTACAATTCTGTGTCTTGCAGACAGAGTCTAGGTTACTCTTTGGGGCTACCTGTGACTGTCCGCTCATAAATTTGGAAATCACAGCCAAGGGGTGTTAAGCACTTCTGTAATATTCACTTTCAGTGAGAGCTGACATCAGGCTTCTTGGAGCCCATCCATGGGTTAAAGTAAAAACCCTTCCCTTTTTCTGTCCAACTCTAGAGTGACTTGCACAACTACATAACAATCCCAGGGATGCCCATCAAGCCCTGATTGCTCACCCCTAAAACCGACTTTGCAACCAGCCACTAGTGCTTGTCTGGCTGTCTCTCCTAAAAACCTGGGGCAGAGAAAGGTGCTCTTGTTCATTGTGATATAGCTTAAAGAAAAAAAATTCCAACAGCTTTTGTATTACCAAAATGTTCTGCTGTTTGCAGAAAGCCCTGAGCAGCATACCAACAAAAGCATGACCTTCCTGCTCAAATAATGGCATATGGAAAGGCAGCTCCTTCTGCAGGGCAGTGGGAACAGTAGGTTATGAGTGATGAAAGTCTTCAAGGGCACTTTGCTTGAAATGGTGCTGTGTACTTTCTCTGCCCTAGTGCAGACACACCACTTATCACTCTAATTGAATCAGTGACTTATTCTTATAGACTAACGGAGGCATTGGCATTCCTGGAAGGCTGTGAAAGATGCAGGGATAAAGACAAGTAGGTCTGCACTGTCTGGAGCGTTGTGTCACTGCCATTTCATGTACGTGTAGTGCTAACACCCATGCTATGGTAGCACACTGGGACAATGTGACACTCATATGTATCTAGATGTGTTGCCTCCCACATAAAAGGCCCTTTTTTTGTCTTTGTGGGACGTAACTTAGCATGTACAATAATACTTTTCTCACCGGGCTCAGAGACCCACAGCAATTCCCAAAACCTGAACATCTGACCACCACTGTTCTGGTTTTCCTTTACCATTTTTATGGTTTTTTGCAGTTTTGTATAAATGTACTGCATATCTCAATATCTCAGTTCATTACAATGACCAAGGGACGATTCCCTTTCAGTTTAGGATTCCTGAGGCTCACCAAGCACAACAGTTCAAACTTCAGCAGGAAAACAAACTGGTGCCTGCCTTCTGCCAGCACACCCAGTGAGGACAGTACTTGGTCATTTAGTCAGTGTGTGTGTGTTTGTGTGTGTGTGTGCACTTCTGGGTCAGATGTTAATACCCAAAGAAAGCAGATTATTAAGGGTGAAAAAAACCCTCTAATAAAAAAACCACAGTTCTGTGTTACTTATAACATATCCAGGTTTGGCTTGTTTTTGCTTTTGTTTTTGATTTTGTGTTACCTGGAAAAATATATTTTAAAAAAAGTATCAGTGAAAATCTGTTTAACTGCATAACCACAGATCCTAACCTAGACTTTTCATCTTCTACACAGAATAAAAACTGATGTGGAATGAAGGGGTGAAAGGAAGTCTGTTTGTAAGAAAAATAAAGTAAATGGGCAAAATTACAAACAAGTGGAAAAAAATATTTATTTTGACATGAATGAAAAGTCTCACTGGGCTAAGATGAAAAATATTAAATTTTAATTTATAAAAAGTTCTCCATGCAAAGAATGATAAGTTGCAAGAGCAACTTCTTGTATAATGCTTGGTGATTTTAAACCATTATTTTTTGGCAGTCACCCTAATCTGATTTTCCAATGCATTGTTTCCCTCTCAGCCTATTATCATTTATTACAGACACATATAAACCCAGCAATTTTTATAGCGGTGTTTTTATTAGTCCATTTCAATTATGTTGTTTGTTTTGCAGACTGTAATGACTTTAATCCTCATTTAAATACATAAAAATGCATTATCCAATAATTATTAGAATATGTGAGAAATTATGATTAATTACACCCAAAAAAGCCATTTGTCTCATGTAGATATCTATTGTGTATCTACTAAGTATTTTAAAGATAGTGAAGAAAAAGCCTTTTGAGAGAACAAGGATAATGCAAATGAGAATTCCTCTTCATTGCAATTTTGACACCATAATTAGTTCACTTTCCTCCCAAAAAGATGATGAGAGGGGCATGTGGGAAAAACATGTTATCTAAGTAACAATGACTAATAAAAAGAATAGTGAAACAGCGACAGCTTTTTCTAATTCAGAGAGAAACATTAGTAAAAAAGTCCTGCTGCTGCACTCCCAGCACCAGGACTCCAATATTTTTTACTTGCGTGTAATCAGAATATGACTAATGCTGCAAAAATAAAAGTTTTCATTATAATTCTATAGCAAATTTTTATATATTACCACCAACTGCTTTCAGACTGGAATTGTACCACTATACCATAAAACTTCACCATAAAAAATTTCAGAACAATGCTTGAAATCATTAGATATGGGAAAACTTGAAATTCTAACATGAGTATTCTTCTGTTCTTTCATCCCCAAAAATCACATATACTTTTCTAGCATCTAAAATACTACCAAAGAAATAAAAAGAAAACTGCCTTCACGATTAGGAAAATCCTTTGTAAGTCAAACAAATCTTTCAGTAGTAGTTTCAGTATGTTTTTATACCTGAAAACAAGGGGAGGCCTTAGGTTTGCCAATCCAAAGCAAGGAAAAGCTACACTTGTTCATCCAGAAGTAGTTAAACTCTTTAAAAGCACACCAAGACACATGCCAGAGCCTCTTCCCCAGATATTTTATTGTTTCATTGTGAAATAATATTCCTAATAAGCAATGAGGTAGTAAGCCAGCAAGGTATAGCAAAGCAGTCAAAACATTTGGAATGCAAACTCTTATGATTGTGTTTATAAGTTAACAGGCAAGAAAATATTCTGGGTATAGCTCTCTGTATGAATCCTACTATTCCTGCTTGAAATTTGAAATTGCTCACAAATATTTACCCCTGTAAAAATCTGAATTATAACATCTTTCCTGTACGGGGAAATTCCTGCAAGCCCTTCTGTGAAAAATAACATTCTCTTATATCAAAGTATGGACCAAGGGGCTAACACATGTATCTCAGATTCACTCTAAATGCTTTTGTTTCTGTTGGATATTATCATATCTTTGGGAATTGCTCTACTCCTGAACCTAGATACTGTAGGGAGAGAATGAAAAGAGCATCTCTCTACACTATGCTGTTACTCCTAAGTAAGACCGTGGATCACAGGTAAGATGGAGAGGGAAATGAAATCTTTCTACAGCAAAGCAAAAAATTATTTTAAGGCCTGAATGTTCCTTTATTCCACCCCTCTCTAAATATACTTTTTCTGGGGAAATTGGCCTGGGTCCTCTGTAGGTCTTGTTTGTCTGGACAGCCTGGAGACTAACCAGCCATGAAATGATGCTTTCTTCTCTACTCATCCCTATGTATGTTCCTTATTCAGCCTTCTGGCCTCAGCTCTCTAGAAGGAGAAGAGGGGTTGCTCCTGCCTCCACAGGCAGGTGCTTTCAGAAACACCCTGTCAACTGCAGTGGGACTGCTTTGCATTGAATTTGTTGTGTCCTTTGAGAGACCCTTAAAATAAGATGGCAGATTTACCACAACACCTCCCAGAAGTTTCAAAATTGGTTTGGTAATACTGTCAACCACCCAGTTTATAAAGCAGCTTGCTGATGGAGCAGGCTGAGTGCTTGGGAGACATGGCTGTAGGGCTTTGAGTGATTTCTCATGCAATTACCTACAAAGCAGATACAGAATTTTTATTCAATTCTCTCCAACAAGACTGAAACACCCTTAATTTTCAGGTGAATTGTGGCAAGGTTGAAAATCTTTGAGCAATACATAATGAGACAAAAAAAACGAGTAATTATGGCCAATTAAGGACCAATATGAAAGACAAGGGAATTCTACTGGTTTACCCACCACATCATATTCTATTCTGCAGCAGATCATAAAGAGAAGTTTTATTTAAACTCATTTAGCTATATGTCACACCTGCATCACTTATTGTTTGGGGTGTATGTAATATTACCCTAGTTATTTTTTTTTAATCTGCAGTCAGACACTATGTAATTACATTACAGCATTACATGTGACTTTCACTTAGAAGGTCAATAATTAACATTAACATTACTGTGGAAGAACACATCTGGAGACACAGAGAATGAAATATCAAATTCAAAGGCATTAGGTTGTAATTTGTACATTTTTAACTATGTAAATCCTCTAACAACACAAATCTTTAGTTTGAAGGGGAGAAGGTTTTAGGGTCACTATGATGGTCTGCAAGTATTTAAGTGAATGCTGAAACCAGAAGATTTTTTAGGTACAGTTCATTTGGGACTCCCAATATACTTACAAATAGGTTGTACCTGCCAGTGTACTGTCTAAGCTGCCATTCTCAGTGCACTCTCAGAAATAGATGCCATAATTAGTCAGGCTGTAATCCTGAAAAAAAAAAAAAAGCTTCAGATTCCTGAAAAGTGTTGATGTTAATTGCTGCTTTTTTACCAGGGCATCTTGTATAACAACTGGGTTTTTCATCAAAGGCCACTGTAGACATCTTACACTACCAATTCAAGCTCTATAACAGATTTTATACAGCCAACACTTCTGTGCAAAGAGGTGACTATTGCATTAAAAGTAGTAATACACAGCTGTTATATGGTTGATTTTCTGGTCAGATTTAATTAACCTGTGCTTGTCTCATCCACTTCTAAAAGAATGCAATCAATGCAAATGTTATTAGTGCCACTAACACACTCCATTCTTTCCAACTTAGAAAAACAAATAATTATATACTATATATACTGTTATATACTATACTATATATAGTGTATAATAATACACTTCTAAGTAAGCCCCTAAAACCAAAATATATTTATGATATTTTCCCCATAAGACTCTGTC